TTTTACACTGAAACCTAAAGTTGTACTGAGGTTTTTGATTATTCTAAGTTGAAGATTTTGATCCATTTAAGTTGTAACATTTCATATCTGTTAGTGAGAGATTAATGCAAGTTCAGCCTTTATTAGTTAGGAAAAAACCCCAATAAACCCAAAACCCAGGTTCCAAGAATAGCATAGAGTGAAATTCTTAAGAAAATGCAACTGTGTGAAAAGCAAAGGCTTGTCACCTTAAATTTTCATGTTATTATTAATCAAAAAATTATATGCACATAAGCCTCATAAATGTTATTGGAAAGAATTATGGAAAAACTGAGAGAAGTGGAGAAGTATGATAACACTCCCCCCCGCCACCTTGTCACAGTCCCAGGGAGGAGGTGGCCTCAGTTCCTTCACTCAACAATGAACTATTCATGAGACCGAATACAACTAGATATTCCTTTATTGAAAACAGCTGACCCTCAAATTTGGTGACTGTACATTCTGTTGTTTATATGTATATAATAAACAGCTTTAATTATTATTTGTGAATAAGGAAGGTGCTATCAGATAATCTTATTCCCTCTGACAATTTGCAATCCAAAAAATGGTTTAAAATTAATAACCCCCAACATTTAAAAAATGTAATATTTTAAATATAATAAGGGCATGAATTAAGGCAGCAGGGAAAGTATGAAAAAGTTAATGAATACTGTATAAAGTATATATTAGTAATTCTTCAAAGAAGGATAATTATATTGCACATTTTTTTCTAATATTTTATTTAAGGGCACTTACATTTTACCATTTTTTAAATAAGAAACTCTCTGTTATAATGAAAACAAGCTAAAAATTTTATATATTTTTTTCCTTTGTATTAGTAATGTTAGTACAGTTAGCTCCAAGAGTAGTTACATGTATGGACAAGAGGCATGTGTATATTTCTTTATTTAAGGAAAAAAACACATTGAAGAAAATTTGGCAAATAAAGAAAAATATATCACCAATAGTACCATCAACCCAGTATAAATGCTGTTAGTATATTGGTATAACATGTAGCCTCTTTTCTTTGCTTTTTTTTTTGAGATAGGGTCTTGCTCTGTCTTCTGGACTAGAGTATAGTGGTGTCATCATAGCTCACTGCAACCTCAAATTCCTGGGCTCAAGCGATCCGCCTAACTCAGCCTCCCAAGTAGCTGAGACTACAGGCGTGCACCATCATGACCAGCTAATTTTTCTATTTTTTTGTAGCAATGGGGTCTCGCTCTTGCTCAGGCTGGTCTTGAACTCCTGGTCTCAAGTGATCCTCCTGCCTCAGCCTCCCAAAGTGCTAGGATTACAGGCATGAGCCACTGCTCCTGGCCCTCTTTGCGTTTTTAAACATAGTTACACCAACTTTTAGAACTTGCTAATACACTGTGTTAGCTCACAGTGTATGATTATGGCACATGATTATTGTATAACAGAAGATATATTTTTAAAAAATTAATTTTGAAGATTCACTTAAAATTTAAAATGAAGGAATGTTATTTTTAGGTACTGAAGATAAATTTCTTGGCTCACTGCCTTTTTTGGTCAACCTTTTATGAGCATCTAAGTCTGTGCATATCAATCTTTAAATTCATAAGTATGATTAATTGAACAACTAAAAACTCATTTCCAAATGAGTTTAAAAATGAACTCTGTGAGATTTCTCCTATGGGAAGTAATTTTTAGATATGCAGAATTTTGTATGTGTGTTGGTTACTACTGCTTTTTTTTGGAGTAGAAAAGTATAGAAGAAAAGAAAAGAGAAGGAAGTAAGTTGGGAAGCACTTCCTTAAAGAACAGCCCTGTATATATCTTCCCAGAACAGTCTGCAGACTTGACTCCTGGCTCTGCTCTGCACTTGCAGTGGTCTGTTCATATCTTCACCCTGAACAAGGTCTTCTAGAACAGAACAATGTTTGACTCTACTCTGCTTCCCTAAGATCTAGCCAAGTTTACAGCACATAGTAAGCACTTAATGAACACTCACTCAAATGAAGGAGAGAGAAAATATGTACATACACCAAGCACAAGAGAGGAAAGAATTATATCAGGATGTTTTTAACCATAAGTTATGGAATATCAACTCCAAGTGGCTTAAACAATAAGCACATTTTCTATTTCATATGACGCAAAGTTCAGAGTCAGGGCAGTTCCAGGGTTGGTTATGCAGCTGAACAGTGTCATGGAGGACCCAGATGTTTTTCATTTTTGTTCTCAGTCATCCTCAGCATATTGGTGATTTCTTCTCTTATAGTTGCAAGATGGATGTAGGAATTCCAGATGTCATTTGCAAACATGACCACATCCAACAAAGAAGAGGCAGTGTTTTCTCCTGTGTATGTGTTTATTACAGAGGAAAACCTTTCACAGTTGCTTCTAGCTGACTTCCATTTAGGTCTCATTGGCTAGGATTGGTTTACGAGCCCATGCCCTAGCTGACACAGACTGTTGGGTAGACACCAACAGTGACCTGTTGCAGATACACCAGAAGAAGCAATAATAGGAAAAAGGAGAAAGATATGTCATAGAAAAAAGAGTAATGATAGAGGCAAGATGAAACAGTCTGTAGTATGTGGTATATATTAATAGTACGGTGTACATTATTTAGGCCTATTTTATTCTCACCCGGACATATACTACCTTATAGCTAATATATGTATGAAGCTAGTATCACTTATTAATATTAAATATTATTTCTAAATAACAATGTGTGCTACTCAAGAGCAGATCCTGATTTTGTAGGATCATATACATCTGGAGATGTAAAGTATATGAAATTGCAAGTACAAAATTGCTAGGCCCAGTTTAGGTCCTTGGAAACTTCATTACCGTCACAGCAAATCTCTCTCCAGTGCCATGCCCAGGCTTCCCCACATTTACTGTCACTACTGTGGAGGGAATAGAAAACAACTTAGGATGGCATTGGGTAATAAGTCAGAAGAACAGAATTTGTTTTATTATTATTCTGGGGAAGGAGGAGATGGCCCTCTAACAATTATCCAAGGAAAAGATCAAATATATGGGAATTATAGATAACAGATGCTTTTACAAAAGAACTTTGAGTTTTTATTAATAGCACTTTTAAACAACTGTTGTTTACTGCATATTATTTACTCTTAGAAACTGTATTAAAGTGAAAATGCATGAATAGATGAACTAATCCTTATAATCTCTTGAAACAAAATGTTCAGCTCAATACGTATATATTTTAGGCGGGCTTAAATAGGTACATATAAAGTCGTTACCATACGACACTTGTATAATTTGGATTGAATTGAATTCTGAAGTAACATGTTAATAATTAACAGAAAATATGAGTATATTAGAAATTACATACAACACTTTATGTTTCCTCCCCATTTCCTTTGGGTCGGTGAGGAGGTGGAGTGGGGGCAGAGAAACAGTGATCACCTGTTTCACCTGCTGTCTTACTGTTCTTCAGACTATTGCAGTAGCATCCCAGACACTGCTTCTGAGGAACTTGTTTTAATGCTAGCTTGATACTCCTCTGTTGCTGCTATTGTCTTCTTTTTTAAAAAAGCCGTTCTCCTCTTATCTACCTCTGCTTCTTGAGATTGCATATAAACTTCCCATTGTATACCTTATTTCATACCAGATTTTGAAAATTGAAACACATATTTGCTAATGAATATAGTGTTAATTTGCAGAAGTGTGTCATGCACCGGAGTTGAATGAGCCTGGTACATAATAGCCTTCTATTAATACTTGTTTAATGGGAAAAAAAATGAATGAATGGTTTATATAATATTGGGACTTCTAAGATAATTTTGTTAATTTAAGGAAAGCAAATATTAGACAATAACTTATACTTGCTAACATTATTTTCTTTTAGAAAAAAGTGACATTACCAATATTTTGAAAAATTAAAGTGTATTTTCTTCAAATTAAAGACCGAGTACAAAAGCGATCCATGTAACCAAAAATATTTGTACACCCTTAATATTTTATAATTAAAAAAAGACTAAGTGATATGCTGAATAGGTATCTTAGCTTGACAATTAAGACATTTATATATTGCTAAGGTACTACAAATCTGGGAAAGCAAGAACATAAATTGAAAAGAAGAGATTATAGAAAAGGGTGAAGGGTGTATGTGATTCAGTAAGAGAGGCCATGAACACAGTGAAAGTAGAATTTGTAACTATGTATGGTGCATATACTTCTCAAAAGATATTTTTTACATATATATCATATGGGTCTGCCTGCCCGTCTCTCATTATTATTTAAAATGTGTTAATTTTATAGCTGTTATTCTTGGACATACAAGTAAATCAACATGTTTTGTGTATTTAAAAGATATTTACTTGATTTCTATCATGTACATGGTTAAGATAAATTTATTCCTTTATCTAAACATTAGCATTTATATATAAAATATTGGTCAATTGTAGATCTCAATTTTGAAAGTGTTTTTATATGTATTAATACAATGAAATGCAGCTTTTTATTTTGTATAAAGTTTTTAAAAAAATCTTTTAAAAGTACTTACAAGATGAAAGGAATTTAAAAATCAACATTATTGGCACAAGATTCATGTTAATGTTTACTCACGTAAATAGCACAAAATACTGCCTAATTAGTGTGGTTGGTAAATTTTTGGTACTTTAATTTTCTCTGTTATTGTAAACCATGCATAAAATGCTTGCCTATTGAGAAGTGCAGAATTGTCAGAGCTTAAACAGCTGACATCTGCTTACTCTCTTAAAAAAAAAAAAAGAATAACAAGCCATTTCAGCCTAATCTACCTCAAATGTGTTCATGTAAATGGAGGTCCATCTATTGACCTGTGTTCTTTTCAGCTCAGGATTGGTCCACATGGTTTATGAAACCAGGATGGCTGATTTGAAATGCAGATGTCGGGAGAGTGAAGTACACCCTCCCCTTTTTTCTTTGCTGTATCTGTCAGGGTGAAAAATGGCTTGCACAAGGGTCAGTCACCCATACTCACTTAATTACTTTTCTTGGACCCACAGAACTGTCACAAGCTGTGGTGGATGCGGGAGCTGTTCCTCTTTTAGTACTCTGTATCCAGGAGCCAGAAATTGCTTTGAAAAGGATTGCTGCTTCAGCCCTCAGTGATATTTCAAAGCATTCTCCAGAGTTAGCACAGACAGTAGTGGACACAGGGGCTATTGCTCACTTAGCCCAGATGATCCTCAATCCTGATTCTAAATTGAAGGTATTTAAAAATAAGGTTAAAAACTAAACAAACTAGCCTTCTTATAAGGTAAGAAAATGGAAATGTGTACAGATTAATACTACACATCTAAAAACAATTAGTAAATTATCGTTGAAAACAGATATAAATATATTATTCATTTGGTCTTTTAATATGTGAAAATAATGCTATACGGATTAGAAAATAAAGATGTGATTGGGAAAACTGTGCAATGTTGAAGATTAGAGGTAGCATCAGTGTTAACATGAATAATTAAAATAA